AACTGCTAGCTAATCCCTATACAGGAGATGGAACATTACATCCCGATTTGCAACTAATCTGTGTGGATGAAGTTTGTCGATTATTTAAGCTTGCAGGTATGCCCGAGGATATTGTCAAGAAGAAAGTCTTCCCTTTATCTTGGTAAATTTGGGTGGCCTCGACGCTTCTAGGGTTTGGGGTGGCCTCGATGCTTCTAGGGTTTGGTCAGACGAGAGGGGGTTGATCTACGTCCCCCCTCATGTTGAAGAGTTACAGGAGTTTTATACGTCATATGTTGCATATGTCAAGTTCAAACTTTGACATATGATCAAACTTTGATATATGATCAAACTTTCATATATGATCAAATGTTGCATATGTCAAAATTCAAACGTTGATATATGTCCACCGCGATATAAAATGATACATAGAATTGTTGGGGCGAGAGGGGGGTTGATCGACGTCCCCCCTCATGTCGAAAATACCGGAGTTTTCTTCTAGTGGTTTGGGTGGCCTCGAGAGTTAGTCGAGTAGGGGCGGGAGGGGGTAGGAGATTGACAATGCTTTTTTCTAGGGTTTGGGTGGCCTCGAGAGTTGGTCGCCCGGTATATCAAGAGGAGGGTGAACATTTTACCTTAGTAACTTAGAAAACAAATGTTATCGGGGAGGGGGTATATGGACCCCCCCTCATGTCTAAATTATCGGGGAGGGACTATATCGACAATGACATACATATAGCCACATACATATAAAAAAATTCTATGAACATCCATACATACATATAGCCACATACATATATATGGCTAAGAAAAATGCCATGAAAAAAATTCATCATATTAAAAAATGCTATGAACAAAACAATTTTAGGAACATCCATACATACATATATATATATACATTATATATGAACAAACAATTTTCATGACATAAAAAATATCAACTTATATAAAAAAACACAGAGCCGGCGTGGCGGTGGTGGCTCACAGCGGGGGCGTCGATGGCACGGCGACGGCGACGGTTGGGGCGGCGATGGCACGGCGATGGCGACAGCGGGGGGCGACGATGG